GGCTGTAAATCTTTACGGGAGCAGAAAGCCTCATGGGGGAAAGGGGGGGAGAGCAGGGAGGGAAGGGGGGTGAGCAGGGGGAAGAATGGAAAAAGAGCACGAGAACAAGAGAGTGTGGGGGGGCAGGGGAGGGAATAGGGGAGAAAGAGAAATGAGGGAGAGAGCAAAATGGGGGGAGAGAGAGAAACACAAGGGGCTGGTGAGAGAGGAGCTGAGAAACAGCAAGACAAAGCCCCAGACAGATAGAGTGAGGGAGACTGAATTGTAGGCATTCATCAGATGAAATCTTGATGGCAAATACTATTACATTTTTGACACAAAACTACGTAGATATACCAGGAAGTGTGGGTTGCTGCTATATCTTCAGAATCACATCAGTGTAAGCATACAGGGTCTTCGCCACCTGAGTATTCCTCACCACAAGTATAGGGTTAAAAATGACTTGAATATGTGTACAAAAAAGTGGATGCATACAGTGATGGACAAATGGCTGGCTGGCTGGCTGGATAAAGAAGGACTCACTTATTTTATTGCAAGGCATATGAGGATCAGAGGGGTTAGTTAACCATCTGCCCGCGGTGCCAAAAACCACTGGTGTCAGAATCCGGCCTACCAGCTCTCATTAACCCCAGTCTAGTCTCCAAATCTAGATCTTCCTCTTTTCTGTTGGGTTCCTTTGTTAGGAGTCATTTGAGGCTCACGGGTAGATGCATTTGTACCCACCCATTTTCTGAACAAGGAAAGTAGCATGCAGTAAATGTTCTACGGCCAGTTCATGAGCTCATCCAGGATGAGACAGCACGGAGCTACTCAGACGCACCTTCACTCCCCACCAACGAATCCTCAGAGTCACATGTGACAGCCCAGGGGTGTCAGACTCCCTCTGGGTTCCCTGGATGCTGGACAAAGGCTGCACCCATCACTGGCTCACCCTCACACTCCAAGAAGGAACACCTAGTCTCAAATGCCCAATGGGCAGGCATCCTGGCTCTCCCCACATACCTCTGATGACAAGGAGTCTGCCTCCCCTTGGAAGAGTTCACTGGAGAGGATCTGGAGTCGGGTGATCTACCTGCATGTGGGGCTCAGGCGCTGTGCGTCTGTCTGCATGGACTCAGAGGGCAAGCTCCTTGCCATGGTCTTGGTGACTCACTGGCATTATGCTTAGATAGAACCATGAGCAAAACGATGTCACTGAAGGCTGGTGGTGAGGGCCATGACAGAGTGGTAACTCTCAGTGACAAAATGCCTCACTGTCAAGTCTTAAGAATGGACACTGACATGATGTACCTGTAGGGTTCTGCATGGTCATTTTGGTAGGTGTGTTGTGATGCCCCCCAAACCATGTGACATGGCCCACAAGGCACACCTGTGTTTCTTTAACAATTCAGCCTTTCTCAATGACTCTTAAACCAGACACAGCACATCCCTGCCTCTCAAACCAGACTCTCCCCTTGTCAGTAAGACTTCCCTGAGGCCAGTCTCTGCAGTGCTCAGCCTGCATTTGTTTCTTGTTCTCAGGGTCCCCTTTCAGGAAGCCCAGAGACAGGCTCTGCCTGGGCAGTTACTTGAAGGAAAGTACTTAGACGGCATTAATGTGGTTTTTTTTTGTTGTTGTTTTTTTAAAAGGGAAGATGGCACTGTAATTAGTCCATGTTTCTGTTTATCAATGAAATACTTAGTAAACTAGCACAGAATTCTAGTTTGGGATGGGTCCTGAGAGACAGAAGGTATCAGAATCTTCAGTCACTCCAAGTTAACCTTAGTCATATCTCAGGTGAAGGCTGTAGTAAAACTGTCGTCTTTTTCTTTACAGGAGTGATCCAAGACTAGAACCTAATAAAAGGACGCTTCAAAAAGTTGGTGAAAAAAAATACGATTATCCTTCAATTCCATTCTTTCCATGAACTTTTTTTGAAGTCCCCTCATATACTGAAACATCATCTGTATTGGAACAGAAAAAGTTCTTCATTTAAATCTCCAAGATCTGGTATTGAGGTATGGATCTGATTTCAGAGGTAACAATCTCCCAGGTCCTAACTCCCTTCATATATGCCCTATGGGTCAACTCCCACGGCCAACCTCCCCCCACCACCCCCTCCCTCTTCCCGTGCATCTGCAAAGTTCTCAGATGACAGACTCCTTGATTCCTGAGGGCCTATGAGCTGGGATGTAGGGCCATTTTCAATTTCTAAACAAAGATGGAATCATCCTGCCACTTCTCAGGGTGTTGCCAAGATGCTTTTGTTATGTGCTTTGGAGTCGGTTCCTACTCATAGCGACCTTGTATAGGGTTTTCAAGGCTGTAAATCTTTACGGGAGCAGAAAGCCTCATCTTTCTCCCTCAGAACAGCTGGTAGTTTCGAACTGCTGACCCTGAGGTTAGCAACCCGATTCATAACCTCCACGCTACCAGAGCTCCTTAAAACCTACTGCGCATCACGACGGTGGTCCACAAATCTCCCAGAGCAACATTGTCCACTCTTGTTACATTTTTGGAAAGAACTTTTTGGGAGTTTCCATGGAGTCTCTGGCCGGAAACCCAAGGGAACTTTGGGCTCCACGGGTTCCCAATACACACCGGCAGCCGTGGCCGGAGCTGACCAGCAGCTGGGAGCAGATACTTGCCCAGTGGAAGGATTCATGATGCAACCTCCTTTCTCAGCAGTCATCTTGCAGTTACAGCCCCTCTCCCGTGTGTCGTGGTTCATGCCGAAGTTGTGGCCCAGCTCGTGGGCCAGGGTCACGGCCGCACCCAGGGGGCTGTCTGAATGGTCCTCCAAAAAAACACAAGAGCACAGGGTTCACATCTCCTCGGCTTCATTCCCCATTGTGTTTGGCAACTCCCATTTCCCGCTTCCTTACAATTTGACTTAATCTTGTCTCTATACAGAAATAAGAGCCCCCAAATTTAGTTTAAATCTAAAGCAAAACAGTGCATTTCTTTACACTAGTTTGAGGTCCCTTCTGCTGAGGAACACCTACCTTTCCCTATGAGGATCCTTTGATCCTTCCTGCCTCCCACCCACCTTCATGAAGTACCATTTCAGTGAATGAAGCAAAACCATTGTCCCATATTATACGCAATGAAAGAAAGCTCACTCATGGATAATCAAAGTACCATTTCCTCTCTTGAAGGAGAACTATGCTGATACGAAGTTGGACCAGCAAAAGCTGTTGCTGAGCACACCTACTGGTAGGCAGTTGGTGGTGGTGGTGGTTGATAAGCACTGTCGAGTCGATACCAGACTCATAGCCACCTTGTATAGGGTTTCTAAGGAGTAGCTGGTGAGTTTGAACCACTGACCTTGTGGTCCAGGGCATTTTCCTGCAACATCATACACAGGGTCATTAAAGCTAACCACACTGAGTGGGTACAGACTCATTGAATTATAAAGGTAATCCCATGATGCCTCCCATCTGGCTGGTCCCTTTCTTCTCAGGTAAACCTTGGAATTGGATAGAGGTGCCTGATTTTCTTTTACTGCTGGACTTGTTTGTTTGGTTGTAGAAAGGGGTTCACCACTTAGCAAGTACGTTTGGCCACTTCCCTCCTAAACCCGGTAGTGGAACGTTTGGGTGACTTGGGACAAATATGTATTAGAAATGAACTTTGAGTCAGTCAACTGTAGCACATTAACATTCATTCATTAATGAACATGACTTGCAGAACTCCCCCATTCCCCGCAGGAATAGTACCCTAGAAAAGGCTTGCACACCAAGGGGCAGCGAAAGGAGAGTCATGGATACTCCTGCTTGGTATTACCCAGAAAAGAGTTAAGAGACTTTCTAAGAGGCTTCCACGGGTTTTACAACCAACATTGTTCCTGGCACGCATGATCTTTGTGGGGCCTTCTGATAAAAGGTGTGTCCTATACATTTGTTGGAGTCCTGGTACGGCGCTGTGGGTTAATACACTAGATTGCAAAGTCACTTGAACCTGAAGGTCAGCAGTTCAAGCTCACCACTGCACCTCAGAAACCCCATACAGGGTTGCTATGGATTGGAAGCGACTCGATGGTGCTTAACAACAATACCTTTTGTTGGTGTGTTGATGCCGCGGCGGCGGCTTGGTTTGCGAGTCTGCAGTCCCAGAAAAGTATGGCATTGGCAAGGAACCAAGTTATTCTTAGAAGAGATGAAATTCCTAATAAATTACTTTGTTTAGATTTTACAGTTTCCTGTTGTAGGAAGTTTTACAAATATGTTTCAGGAAATCAGTTCCCCAGAATAACACATGCTGTTTAAGAGAACTCAGCCAGACGACAAATGCTGATGATGGTCCACAAATGTGGAAGGTGGCATTGAGCAGGCTTTGCAATAAAAGTCAAGGAATTCACCCTTAAAACAGAAACACTGAAAACCCCCTCGACTCTGATTCTTTTGTATTCTGAAAGATCTTGGTTTAGTTTTAAGTCACGGTATTGTCTTATAGTCTTCAACACACGTGACTGACTACAAACGGAACGCTGCTTCAGAGACCCTGTTTAAGAGTTTACATTTGTTATAAAGAAAAAATAGTCTAAGAAAGAGACTTCTGTATTGATGAACATAATCACCAAATTAAGAACGGTGTAGTTCAGTTGGATACAAGGGCACAGCTTTAAGTTGCTAAAATGAATGCTTAACTCATTCATGGAAAAAACAAACAGAAAAACAGTAACAAATCATATTTTCAATTAGATTGAAATCCCCGCTCCCTTTGCTACATTATTTCTTTGCTCTTAAGTTTTTGAGCTGGAGGCATACTGGAGACCCATTGGCACAGTGGATTAAGCAGTGGGCTGCTGACTAAAGGTTGGTGGTTCGAACCCTCCAGCTGTTCGACAGAGGAAAGATGAGGCTGTCGGCTTCCATGCAGATTTATGGAAACCCTTCAGAGAACCTCCACTCTGCTCTACAGGATCACTGAGAGCTGGAACCGACTTGACACCAGCGGCTTTTGTTTTGTATGCATTTGTCTTCAACACACAATAGGAGAAAAGTTGGTCGGGAAGTCACAGACCTAGTCACCGTTTTGATTTTGCTTAGGGCATGAAGATTCTAGCAATCCCCAGACCTGCGGCACTTTCATGCTTGTCGATTCTTCTGAAAACAAGGGGCATGTTGAAACGTCGTGAAGATGACTTCAGCTAAATGGCTTACGCATGGTTTTTGATGATTGAATTTGGGCTCGACTAGCTAGTCACTGCGGTGCACATCGCCTGCTACATTTACCATAGTCATTTCCCTTTATTTTACAAAATCTAGGTCTCTGTGCATGTTTTTGAAAAAGAATAAAATGATAACATGGAAACAGAAGTGTACCACAGCAACTGACCTCCAGTGACCAGAGTCCACAAGACCATGTCAGCTCCCTGTGGCAGTACAATCTGCCATGCTTGAGGAGAATTCCATTTCAGCTCTAAACTAATCGTCATAATAATAATCACCATCCCCCACCAATTTCCGTAGCAAAAAACCATGGGACCATGAAACAGAAAATCATTCTCTCTTAAAACTTCACAGTTGACGATATAAAATTAGAGTTGGAATCAAGCTTAAAATGAACCTGGCAACAAGCAAAAGCAAACTTTCCAGCAACTTCTATGGTGGAGATCACATCCAGAGCATCCAGATTCACAGAAAGCCGGGAAGGAGCCCCTGAAGCCAGAAATCCAACGAGAGGGTCACCCTCCCTCCAAACAGCTTCTCCAGTGTCTCCATCCAACTCTTGTTTATATTATTTGCCATTAGCGAGTCCAGAGAAGATGAAAGTGCTTGTGGAGCACAGACCCTAAACTGATTAGATTAGGTCGTATGCAAAGTGAAGATGGTAGTCAGCAGAACATAGCTCTTTCCACTCTGGACTACAACTGCCTTTTCATAAAGGCTCTGTTTAAAAACTGGGTGGTGTTCAAAGCTCCTTGGAAGGGTAAGGTTCCACTTCTATAACAGAGACAGAGTGGTCTCCAGAGGTCCTCCCTGTCTGGGAGCTGATGCCCAGGGGACATGAAGGTTCCGGAGCAGGGACACTGCAGAGTGTACCCCCAGTTAGGATTATTTCCCTCTTAAGTCCATAAGGAACAAGTCTCAAATAGTCTTCCCATTTTACTTCCTTCTCCAAACATATATAGCCCATCCAGAATGAAAGCATCTTTGTAAAGCAATAAAGTCAGGTTTCCGTCTCCAGGAATAAGATTACTCTGCAGACAAGTTGTAAATGGGTCAGGAGGCATGTCAAGCATTTGTGGTGGTAAACAGTTAAAAACCTCAGACTTTTTGGCTAGTGGACCTAGAGTGAAATCATCAGAAAAACCATTCTAACGGTGAGACCTTAGTCCATCCAAAAAGCTGAGTGGTGGAGGGCTGAGGGCAACCCCATGCCCTGACTCATCGCGCCCATGTAACCACTCCAGATGGCAATCCTTGAACCCAAGTCCCACTGATACTGTTTTTCCACAGAAAGGGTCGACTTGCCTGCACTGAACTATTTTCACACACTCACCACTTCTTCTGGGTGCTACGTGATGTGCTTTATCAACAGTCCCTAAAATGTTGTAGGGTCTACAAGATGATAAATACAGCTAGAAATCACAGCTGGACAGAATCTGTTGTTGTTGGGTGTTGTTAATTTCAACTCCTAGCAACCCCACACGACACAGCAGAGCTGTAACCTTCAGGGGAACCGATTGATCAGTCCATCTTCCATGGAGCCACAGCGTGGCTTCCAATGCCAACCTTACAGTAAGCAGCTGAACACTTACCTACTGTGCCACCAGGGTCCCTTCGCAATGAAACCTAAAGAGCATTTAAGAGAAGGGTTTCTCCCCACAAAGCCCAGTCCAAGGAGTGGTTGGTAAGGAAATCACTAAGAAGGCACCCCCAGACTTACCATGACGACCCCTCCGGATTGTTCCGCAGTACACATGCTCATGATGGGCGCCATCCCGATGGTGCTCCCTTGGAAGTACACCCCGCTAGGAGAGAAAAGAAATGCCTTCCTGAATCTAATGCACTGTAGAGATTCTGCTAAGTACACCCCACTAGGAGAAAAAAGAAATGCCTTCCCCCCACTAGGAGAGAAAATAAATGCCTTTCTGAATCTAATGCACTGAAGAGATGCTGCTACTTGAGATTCTGTTGGACATTCCTGCAAAAGAACATGCAAAAATGCAGACAGCCACCAAGGACATGTTCATAGGTGATTCCAATCTTTTTTTTTTTACAAAACTTCTTTTCTAGTGACCTCATGGTCCCATCATAGTGTTAGGCCTTTGTTTTCAAGGCAGAGATAACAACAACCAGTTGTTGCTTTTGTGTTGAAAAACTGCATCCTTCCTATTTCCTGATGGATTCGAGAGAGGATCCCTTTGACAATGTGTGCTTACGGGGAGGCTGAACACAGTCACAGAGCCACTGTTTGCTGAAAAAGACGTGACCAGCCACTTCCCAGATTTTCTGTTTAGCGGGATTCTGCTTCTGTGTGTACATCAGGGCATTTAGGCCAGAACCCAGTCCTCTCCAAGGTGCTGCTCCTAAAGTTTTCAGAATAGAAAGTGGCAGGAGAATGCTCCATTTCTTGGGGCCAATGTTGCATAAATAAGCACCCACGGGCTTCTGTGCCCAGAGGGAAGGTTCTGGAAGGTCGGATCTCTTGGCTACAGAGCAGTCATCCTCATCCCTAGAATCTTATCTTCATTGATGAATCTAATGATTCTAAGGTCTGTTCAAAGTTGTCATTGTTAAGTGCCACTGAGTCAGTCCCGACTCATAGCGACCCTGTATAAGGTTACTGAGGAGTGGCTGGTGAATTTGAACCACCCACCTTGTGGTTCAAACCGACCTTGCGGTCCAGTGCATTATCCCACAGTGCCACACTGTTAAATTAAAATTTCATACATTAAAAAAATTAAAATTGCGTTTAGTTTCTTTCAAAGGGAACAAATGACTTGCCTGTGTTACGTTGGTCACACCTGTATATAAAGAATAACATTATGTAAGAGGCTAGCTTATTTCCAGATGTTCAAGTTGGTCAGATCCCATTTGGGAAATCAAAGCAAATACTCAATTCAAAATATTTGCAATCTACGTGGCGCTGTGGGTTAATGCGCCAGACTGCAAAGCCATGTGAACTGCAAGGTCGGTGGTTCAAGCTCACCAGCTGCTCCTCAGAAACCCTATATAGGGTCACTACGAGTTGGAATCGACTCAACAGCACTTAACAACTTTTAGTAGTTTATGCACTAATCAGTGCATAAAACATGAGGCAATCAGCACATTCAACAAAAAACCCAAGCCCAAAACCATGACAATGTTCAGTGGTGACCTGGGAATGCGGAAGACCTTGGTTTCCATGCATTTAGGAGGCAAAGATGGGCAGAACTGTGCTCAACTTTCCATAAATGTTCAATAAAGGGCAAGAAAACTCTATCCCCAGAGTTTTCCTGCCAGGGGTACTCGGAGAAGCTGTATGAGAACAGAAGAATGCCACGTGTTTTAATAAAAAGTTTGCCTCTGCTGCAAAAATCGACTTCATACCTTTTTCAAGCAGAACAATTCTTTTTCCTTTTATACTGTTACTGATACATTGTTATACTATTATGATGTTATGCTAGGTTATGTGATACTGTGTGGCTTTGCTCTATATCATGTTGCTATGCACGTTGTTTGGCTAAATTCTATTATGTCGTTATGTTATGGCGTTTTTGCTACGTTGCTATGTTACTGTACATAAGGAAGTAATGCTGTATTATACTGTCATTGTATCATGTTGTTTGGTGCTGCTGAGTTGGTTCCAACTCATAGTTACCTTATGCACAACTGAAGGAAATACTGCCCAATCATACACCATCCTCACAATTGCTATTCTTGAACTCATTGCTGCTGCCACTGTATCAATTCACCTCGTTGGGGGTCTTCCTCTTTCTCACTAACCCTAGCATGATGTTCTTTCTCCAGGGATTTGGGCCTCCTGATAATATGTTGGAGAAACAAAGACTCACCAGCCCGATTTCTAAGTGACATTCTGGCTGTACTTCTTTCAAGGCAGATTTATGAGTTCTTATGGCAGTCCATGGAACTTTTAATATTTTCTCAAACACCCTAACTCCAATGCATCTACTCTTCCTTGGTCCTTCTCATTCATTGTCTAACATTTATACACATATGAAGTTCTTGAAAATACCATGGCTTGGGTCAGGAACACCTTAGTTCTCAAACTGACATTTTTGCTCTTAAACATTTTAAAGCAGTCTTGTACAGATTTTTCAAATATGTCATTAAATCCAACTGATGTTATAATATACTGTTATGTGATATTACATTGTTACTTTGTTACATTATATTGTTATGCTATTATGATGTTAAGATATGCTGTGTGATAAGCTGTTATGCTGTATTACATTGTTTGCTAACTTATATTATGTGGTCCTGTCATGGTGTTTTGTTAAGTTATATTACTTTATACTATGATGTTATGCAATACTATGCTCTATTGCTATGCTATATTAGGAGTCCTGGTGTCATGCTGTGGGATAAAGCACTGGACTACAAAGTCAGTTGTTAATCACAAAGTCAGTCGTACAAACTCACCAACTGCTCCTTAGAAACCCTGCACAGGGTCCCTATGAATTGGAACCGATTATGTTATATTATGTTGTGACATTATGGTATACTGCTATATTATTATTTTATTATTTTAATATATTATAAAATATTATGTTATATTATGTTGTGACATTATGGTACACTGTTATATTATTGTATTATTTTACAGTGTTATGGGGTTTTGCTACTTTATGTTATTTATTATATGATATCTACCACTCGTCTGGGCTGTCAGTTCACTGTACCTGTGGTGGCTTGTGATTTACTGTGATTCTGGAAACTAAGCCACCAGTATTTTAAATACCAGCAGGATCACCCATGGGAGACAGGTTTCAGCCAAGCTTTCAGAATAAGACAGACTAGGAAGAAGGAAAGAGACTGCTTCTAGATGTTTAGTCACTGAAAACCTTATGAATGGCAGAGGAATAATGTCAGATGATACCAGAATATTGAATATTGAAACATGATGAAGAGCGCTGGAATATTGTCAAACATAGTGCCGGAAAATGAGCCCCTCTGATTGGAAGGCACTCAAAATACTACAGGGGAAGAACTGCCTCCTCAAACGAGAGTTGAAAACTAAATTAACAAGTTTTCCTTCAAGTCCATTCTGATTCATGGCTGTCATGCGTGTAACAGTTGTCCATTGGATTTCCAATGATTTCTCAGAAATGGAGTGCCAGGTATTTCTTCTGGGTGTACTTGAACCTCCAACCTTTGTGTCATAAGCCAAGCACATTAACTGTGTGCACTGCCCGGGGACTCCACGGAGAGACTCAATGGCACATACGCGTGGCATTATGGGTAAGTGCCTGGCTGCTAACTAAAGGGTCACTGGTTCAAGTTGACTAGTGCCTCTGTGGGAAAAGACTGGTGATCTGAGCCGGTAAGGATTACAGCTTAGGAAACCCGATGGGGCAGATCCACCCCCAACATCACTGGAAATTCCAAACCAAGGGAACACCAGCACAGTCTGCAGGGAGCACGTTTTCTGGAGGGAGAGGTTCCCAGGGTGAATAGGGAGAGCCTTGCCCAGCACACCTACCAGTCCAGCTCGGGATGTGTGTCTCTGTGAGCCCACACCAGTCCAGCTCAGGATGACTGTGTCTCTGTGAGCCCACACCAGTC